CTTGAGCATGTAATAGTGATTAAAAAGATTAAAACAAATGGGTGATTCATTAACATCGACAAAAAAACTATTATTAAGTATGTCAAAGTGGAAGTACGAAAAAGAAATCTGACACAAGGATTAAATACATACAGTAAATGTGTACTGAGGACTAGTTCAAGTAGGCAATTACTCACCCTGAGAGAGACTTTTTATACCTATGATTTCAGAGAATTTTTTTTTTTCACTTTTAATTAAATATTATTTCTACCAGACAGTCGTTTGTTATTAGTGCACTAAGTAGCCTGTTGCCTTTTTTTTTTTTTTTTAAACCAAGCAGAAAACAGTCTCAGAAAAAGGCAGGTTTCAGCATATTTGTAAAAAAACACTGACATCTCTAAAAATTAGGATACTCTGGAGCTCACAGCATTACTGCAGTAGCTAACAGAGTTGATCAGAATTATCAATTACTTAGCAGCTTCATATCAGGTCATGCTCTTTTTTGCCAAGAAGCGTACTTCCAGCGTGCAGAGCACCCAAGGTTGTTTTAGCTGACTGGAAGCAGCCAGCAGTAGGCTTTAAAATTAAAAACAGGTCATGACAAGGCTTCCCAGACCTGCTGCAGTTTAACCTGACCCTTGGCCCTGTGGCCCTTGTTCATTCATTGCTTCCACAGAGTTAATGGAAATGCAATAGTTACTGAACTGATTGCACTGATTGCTTTTTTTTTTTTTCAGAATATGGAATTTTTTACACAGTCAGAAGGAAAACATGAATTCAACAACTGAGCAATCCTGGGAGTCAAGATTTCCCACAAATATTTAAAATAAGAACACAAAACCAAAAATATACTTTACAGAACTAAAATACAGAATTATGGAAGATGCCATTATCTCCCACTATTAGTAAAATTAACAAATCTACACATACACGTAATCTTCGAGGTTGGAGACATATTCTCAAGCTACAGGCATGTTGCAATATTTGACTTCTCCACAGTTCACATGCACTTAATAAGGTTTCCTTGGTTAAATATTTCACAAGCAACAGTTCTCTTCTTTATGAAGTTAGTACTATCAAAGAATAGGACAGTGTCGTGGTATACTAGGATGTGTGAAATAATTACTTATCTTCTTTTAATTAGCTACTACTGTCCCAATCACTGATTAAAAAGCTAATGAAGATTCATCCCAGGATGAATTCCTAGATCAGCATTTTGAAAGTGCAGTTTTGTGTGTATGCATCTACAAAAAAGGGCAGCTTAATTGGCTGCTCCATAATCATGGGGAAAAAAAAAAAATTAAGGTAACCATCAATGGTCTGCACTGGATTAATATTTGCGAAAATATCTGACAACAAATGTCAACCAGTGCAATATCATTTCCCCTTCAGATGTCCCTGCCAGAACGAGAATGATGATGTCCCTGCTGGCCCTTCCACAGGAAAGGGGTTATTCGATCATTACAATCAAGTAAGTGACCTGGGAAAATCCCCTCCCTCCTGTTCTGCTTTGATCTTCAGTCTGGTCTCAGACTTCAGCACCAGAGAGACAGCAGTGTTAACAGCAAGACGTAACCATTTGCTATTCTTACTCCTCTCAGTTAAGCTTATGACTGCAAGTTCTACAAGGTTCTGCACACCACCTTCCTTGCACAGGGATGGTTTTCTGGGGAACATCCATGACAGCCTGTCTGACATTTGAAAAGTGCAAGCACTAAACACCTCTAATTCCTGTTTCTCCATTCACTTCCAGATGAGTAACACTTTGGAAAATTCATCTCAATGGATGCCCTATCTAGACAGCAGCGGAGGAAAAAAAAAAAAATTGAGTAGTCTGTGACCTAATTGCCACTCAACATCTGCTGATAGGAAACTTTGGCCCTCAAAGAAAAAATTAAGAACAATTCACAGAATCACATTGTAAACCATAAATGCCCTTTGTTGTTATAGTACTAGATGTTTACATTAAATATTATGAAGGCAGCCATCTACATTTACCCACTGAGGAAGAAATAGGAAACCAGGGCAAAATCACTCTGTGAAGAGTCCAAGATCAACTTCTGCCACAGACACTACCAAGTAGCAAGCTAGATGTGAACATGCCTCCACTGACACACGGGAGCAGGTCTGAACCCATTCCCACCTCCAGGCTCGCTCTCCCCTCAGTTATTTACCCACAAGCACATGCTCAGCTGCAGACCCAGGCTGCCCCAAGTCCTCCTTAATGTGGTCAGTCTGAGCATGCCCCAGCCCCGTCTACCTGGTGTCCCAAGTAGCTCTTGCACATACTGGGGGTGTTGGGAGCCTGACAAGCCTGACTGACAGGCAGTCATGCAGCTGGCCAGCTAGCAAGAGAGCCACAGCGACCAGCACGCTCAGGCCTGCTACCAAGCCTGCTCTTTGTGCAACTGCAGTCCCAGCCTACACAGGACTCACGACTTTACACAACACCAGAAACAGCGGGGACACAACTGTGGCATTTACCAGGCAAATCCCAAGTGCTTGTACAATTGCTGCTCCTCATTCACAGGGGTACTGGCAATCTCCAAAACCCTGTTAAGTCTCACAAGTATTGAGGTCACCAATTAGCTTCACTAATGCAGTAATTATGCATTTATGCTGCAGTATAATGCAGCAGAGCCATTAATCTGGAGTTCTGTGGTGATAATTTTTTTCTGTATAGTACAGCAAGAACAACTTTTCAGCCTATAAATGCAGATGTGAACCCTGGAATCATCTTTACATGCTGCAAAGGGGATGGTCCCTCCTCCCAGCCCTATGTGCCCTGGCCTCCATTCAATCCCCAGGGTCCCCTCGTGATGGCTCTGGGAACTCAGTAACGGAAGCAGCTGCATGGACCTCCAAAATGTTCATAGAGAGGCAGGGACACACATTTCCTTCTGCAGACATTCTAGTTTGAACAGTTCTGTCTTTAACACCTGACGTTTCCTTGCACCCCCTCTGCATATGAAGAAACCAGACCAATGAAAAATGGATATTAATAATAAACTCCAAGAGGAGATCAGGCTACTCTCAACCCAACACTCCCCTGAGCCAGTTCTCTAGCTGCACAAACAGCTCTACTGACACAGCTGAGAGGGTGGAATGGAGGTAGGAACAAGTGGCCACAGCCTGCTTAAGTCGGTACTACCTCTGAAAAATGCATATGAAATCATGCCTTATCTCTTCTGACCGGTAGGAGTTTGTGCAAGCAAGCAGGTAAGACCCAGCTTAGGCAGAAAGACTTAAGGGGAAAGACAGGGAGATATGCACACTATCTTAAGGATAATCTCCCCTTCCAAGCTCCTCAGTTAGCATTAGAATCAAAGGACTTGTTCTTTAGCATTTTCCCCTGACTGTCCACCTTCCTCCCTTAAAGCTGACGGTGCAGGCAGCACTACAGCACCCCTGTCCCTCCAAAGAGGGACACTGCAGGCAGCCCTGCAGAACCATTGTGCTGCAGGGGGTGTACCACCTCTCCAGAAAACCTGGCAAATCCCTCTGAAGGATGAGAAGGAACATATTTTTCCAGGCCTTCCACATCCCCTCAGCCACATAGTCCTCTACATCAGCATTTCACTAGCACAAACCCCACAAAAACAGGTCCAATGACACTGACAAATTAACTGACCTCGAAATAATGAGCTTCCCTCTCCAGTCTTGCCTGTAGGGAAGATCTGTTTTTAAGTAAAAGAAAGGCCATGTGGAGGAGAATAACATTGTACTCTCTGGATTAGGTTTTAATTGGATATAATTAGAGCCTAACCCCCCCCCCAAAAAAAAACAACAAAACAAACCTTCCCATGCAAACTCCCCCCACCAGTCTAGTATCTCATTCCACCTGGTCATCCTTCCTGAAAACAAATATATTTGTCTTCTCATGTTACACTCATGTATGGAGCCCAAGGGATTTCTTTACTTTTTATTTCCTTTTCAAACTCTTACCTACCACCTATGAATTTTCTAAACACCTTAACCAGAAACAGATCACAGGCATACGTGCAACAGGGTGACTGCTGTTACTTGAGGGTACGTGCTCTGCAAGTGCTCTTACATTCCTCACAGTCGTAACAGCAGCAGTGCTACAGAGAGCAGGGGATGAAGGGCATTAATGTTCCAGTCTCAGTAGCTTACACCTATGCCATACTGTTCCTGTTGGGAAGGAAGGATAGTCCTGTAGCTTAGGAGCATCCTAGACCCAGAGAGGAACGACTTTTGCCCTACTTTCTTCCATGAGTTACGTTTCCACTGCACCGTTTTTCTGTTTCAAAGCTGACTGTGGTATGAAGTTGCTCTTCCCCCTACCCCCATATTCCCCTCCCGCTACCGTTAACTGCCCTTGATCTGCTGCAGCCTAGTTTCTGACCCTTTGCTGAAACTACTGGCAACTAGGCTCAGCCAGGGAGTAACTTACGGGCCCCTTTCACCTTTGAGCAGTTCTGGAACTGCCCATTGCTTTGGGATGCCCTGGGCAGTTAATCTGGTTCCCCTCCCAACCTGACGACTGCTCTTTCAGCCGCTCCTCCCTGCCTCACCAGCATCCCTCAGGGCTCTGTCCTTATTCCCTTCCTTGCACTTCAATCGTTGACTGCTCTTATCTGGCCACCTAAGGCATTAGCTCCCATCCCCTCTCGGATGAACTCCCAAACTCCTCTTTGTTACCAACTCCAACCACGATCAGTTTAAGTTCATGTCAGAAACTACCTTTGCACTACTCCACTGTCAGCCGATGTTTGAAAAGGCCGGGACTAAAATTATTTTTTTAATCTTCCTCCTCTGAACCGCCCGTCTCTTCCCTATCAGGGCAGCCAACCCTGCTGTCTTCCTTTGTCGGATAATCCCTTTCTTTCACTCCTTGACAGGCAGGCTGTCACCAAGCCTCTCTCAGTCCCACCTCTCCAACACCAGGCTCCTCCTCTCTGCCCCCTTTGCCACAAAGGCCCTGGGGAGCCCAAGGAGGGCTTGTGCCTCCGCAGCACCGAGCGCAGCCGAGGTTACAGCCACGACTGGGGCGCTCCTACCTGCACCGGGGCAGCAGTAAAACAAAACTGCCATCTCCTCCTTGGCCTCTGCAGTCTCCCGCCCTCCATCTTCCTTGCCCCGTTACTCTCCCCGGCCGCCTCCTGCAGAAACACTTAATAACCCGAGCAGGTAAAATGGCCTTCCCGCCTGGCTGCCTCACGGCGGCTCCTCGGCGCCGCACAGCAGCAGGCCGCCGCCACGCTCCCAGCCAGGCCCCGGCCCTCGCACCAAGCCACCTCGCCGCCATCGCGGCAACACGGACACCGGCTCTACCCCGCAGCGTACCGGGGCGGGCGGGGAAGGGGGTAAATAAAAACAACCCCTGGTTTTAGGCCGATCGGCACGAAGCCGTGATGGAACCGGACACACGCTGGGGTGGCAGGAGAAGAGCAAGCCGCGGCCTGCGCGCCAAACGACCGCTCCCGCCGCCTCTCCCCACCCCGGCACAGGCCCCTCTCCCGCCGAGCCCTCCGCTGGCTCCGTCTCGGTCCTGCTGCCTGCCCCGGGGTGGTCCGGCACCACGGCCGGCGACCCCGGGCGCCTCCGGGAGGCAAGGCGGGGGGGTGGGGGTCTTCCCACTTCCCCCGGCCTCGCCCGCCTCG